GGAATATTCCCAGGTAGCTGGGCCTATGAGACGTTTGGCGTTCGATCGAAGGCTCGTTAAGCCTTGCTTTTAATAATTAACGTGTGACACTACAGCACTGAAAAAACACTCGCAGCATGCGTACAAGCACGGTAGAAAAAAGCACAGCACGAGTTGAGCATAATGATCATCGAGGGAAAAGAAGAAGCACCGGCTAATATCGGCGATGTTCGTCGACAATTTGTTCCTAAAAATCTGTTCTTCCCTTTTCTCTTTTTTTTTTTTTAATCTTCTTCTTTAGAAGAAAAACTTCTTCAGAAGAAAAGAAGAAAAAGATAATCGGAGAAGATTCGTTGCTGGTCGGACGATCGAAATCCAGATGATTCTTTCCTTTCTCTCTCTGTCTCTCTCTCTCTCTTTCTCTCTCTTTCTTCCGTAGATCTAGACTTCTTACGTAGATACAAAAGGCGAAGGAAATAGTAAACGAGGAAAAGTAACCACCAAGAAAGTTGCCACTTAACGCGATGATGCGTGTATGCCTTTGCCCTTTGCCTCGAGGAACACTCTCGAGTCCCAATTTACTTGGCTAATCTTTCGCGAGAGGATCGTTGTTTCTTGGTGTTTTCGTTTTGTACAAAATTCGCATATATATATATATATATATATATAAGAAGCTGCGTGGACAGAGTCGATACGTTTTTCTCCCTACGAGAAGGCTGGATGTCTTCGTTTGACTTCCTTTTGGACCCAATACTCGTCTACCTAAATGTGTCTAAGGATAAGAACAAGCTGTAGCCAAATGACGTTACGGTTCATCCTCTCCTCTTGATCTCGAAGGGCAGAGAGAGAGAGAAGGTCGCGGGCTGAACGTCGTCTTCGACGTGACACGAGTCGTGCCCGACCTCGTGTTATATCCTCTCCTCCGCTCCTCCAATGTTTTCCTGGCTCAAGACGTACGATCTAACGCGAGAAAACATCTATTTATAGTCGATATACCATGCGCAACGCGAACGGTGTTCCCACGGAATTCCAGAACGTAGGGTAGGGTAACAGGAATCTGGGAAACGTCTCGTTGTCGTTAATGATATAAGACGGTTTTCTTCGTTTTTGTGCGCGAGGATTACCCCCCCGCCCGCTTTTCCCCTCCCCCACCTTGTTTCACGCTCTTCTCCTTCGGCTTGCGTTCGCGTCACGATCCGCTACCCTCTTTCCTACCCTCTATACCCCGTATTTTCTAATATATTCTTTCTTAAGACTGGCAAAGGACGACGTATACCTCGCGAATACCTCGACACTGCTCGGATATCCTCGAAGAAAATGGAAAACTGCGTGAGCAACGTTGCGCCAACGTGCGATACCACCCTCTCGGCGATTGTCACTCCGTGGAGAATTCG